CTGATTCAGGTTTGAGCCTAAGTCTGACTTCCGTCCACATGCAAATCAGCCTGACTGGGCTCCTGCTGGTGAGGTGGGGTGTCAGAGCCTGAGTTGTGCCGAGATTCAGGTCCAAGCCCTGTCATTTTGCAGTAGGGACACAGCTCAAACCACAGACTCGAGTCAGAAAGGCTTCACAGTGCAGTGTGGACGCATTAGCATAGCAGTGAGGTCCAGCAATTGTCCAGACCCGGGTTTGCAATGCAGTGGAGACAGAGCCAGTGTTTGTACTGATTGACCTACGTCAGCTTGGAAACCTTACTGGGGACGCAGCAACGCTGCCTTACAGGTGCTGGTGTCGCGATTGCTAGTTCCCATCAGTTACCTGGCCGTACCAGCATAACTGCATCCAAAAAACCAGTGCAAAACCTGTCTCTGAATCGGCCCTAAGCTGTGCAGAGGTTCCAAAAAGTCACCCAAACATTTGTGATGGCTCACGCAGCTTCAGCACTCGAGCCATTTGGGGGGCAAAGGTTTGTCTTTGTTACTGCAGTGGATCTGTTGCCAGCAAGCAATTGCAGAGAGGTCACTGCAACTGCTTGAAACTTCACAGCTGCAGCACTGTTAGGCCTCAGGCCTATTTGCTCTAAAATCATGCCCCTGTCCCCACCACCTCCGCTCAAGGGAGAATCTCCATTTGTTCATGTCTAGCAGTACATGGTCTATGATATCCACTGGACAGTTCTGTTTCAATTCAGTAGAGGGCAACGGTTCACCTAGAAACTCTCTGAATCGCCGTTATTTTAGCCCAACCAGTGGCCATGCCCCTAGTTCTCCTTCTCCCTTGAGGCCTTCTCTGTTCTCACACTCCTCCCTTCTCCATTTTCACCTCCTGCCATAACTTTATCTTGGGGCACTCTGCCAGTGGGAAGAGACCCCCTTATGTGGCTTACTGGGCTACTGTGAACACCTCTAACTAGGGAGCCGATTGAGGCGTACAGGACTGGCAAAGCATTCTGGGCGGATATTACGCCAGGTGTGTTGGAGGCCTTGTCAAAGGCCTTGCTAGCTTAGGGAGCCATTCCCCCTTAGGCCATTGTTCGAAATCCAGCCCCGGGCAGTCAAGCCCCCCATCACCCCCAGCTGCTCTGCATTCGGGGCCCTGGGTGAAATGCAGTGATGGCTCCGAGTTCTATTTATCTCTGCGGGCCAGGCGGTCACATCACTAACCCCACGGCACACCTGGTGCTTCCCAGCAGAGACACCTAAGGACTGACTGGGACCTGGTGACAGTGTGACCCTCTTGTGGCCCTGCTAGGTCTGGATGAGGCCATTAGAAGGGCGGGGAGGGGGCAGAAGACCTGGTTCGTTTGCCCTGTTCTGTGGATCACTAGAAGCTTAGGATCCAGTGGGGGCCCCGCCAGCACCCTGTGGGAGACCGAGAACACCCGAGAGGCAGTGGAGCCCACTGGCAAGCTGCTCTTGCTTTATTCTGAGGTGCTGAGGTTGAAGCAGGAGAGTTGCGTCAGGAGGTGAGGAAAGTCCCTCTGGGAGGGGAACTGCAGGCTGTGCACGGTGCCACACGGCCAGGGGAGCCTGGGCCAGGTCAGAACAGAAGGGCAGGAAGGAAGCCTGGTGAGTCAGAGGAATGGGAACTGACGGGTCTAGCTGAGGAGCCAGGTGCTGCTCCAGCGATTAGCCAGCACGGCCCCCGGGGCTAAGTGCTTGGCGCAAGCCATCCGGACAAAGGATCAAGTGGAGCGTCCCGAGAGTAGACAGCACAGCTGGCTGGGACCGGGGGAGTGCAGCTGCGGTCAATCTGCGAGAGCAGTTCCAGGTGAGGGGGACAGCACCTCTGGCCTGCAGAGTACACCGCCAGCAGAAGCGGTGGGAATAGAGGGGAGTCGGGAGAAGGCTGAGCTAGTGGGGCTGGGCTGGGAGACGGGCTGTCCATGGAATAAACAGCACAGCTGACTGGGACAGAAGAGGATCCCAGCCCAGGCTGCACTGAGGAGTCCAGGTGAGAAAACAAGGTCCGCTCGAGAGAGTAAACAGCATAAGTCCTGGGCAAAGGCAGAGCAGGGCTCCGGCCAGCTGGAGCCCCCGGGGCCAGGTAAGGCACTGAGCTCCTGTCCATGGAGTACACCGCGTAGCATCTGGGCACAGGCAGTGCGGGGCTCTGCTTAGCTCGCTCCATCGGCTCCCAGGGAGGGGACAAGCTCTGATCCCTGGAGTAGAAGGCCCAGCTGGTGGAGAGAGGAGGCGTACAGCTCTGATCCACGTGGGACAATGTGGGCGCAGGCCTGGCCATGGAGTAGACAAAGCGACTTCCTGCGGCGGGAGGCATGGGCCTCGCCATGACTTGAGCCCATGGCCCCACCAGAGGGGGTGTATTCAGGGGCCGGTTGTAGAAAGCACAGCTTGCAGGGACAGGGGAAGTGGGACTCCGGTCAACCTGAGCCAGCAGCTCCCGGTGAGGGCATGTCCTGCGGCCCAGCGGGTGAAGCGTGAATCTGCTGGGCAATGGAGGCTGTTCCCCCAGCGCTCGCAGGGAGGAACCTGGGTCCCGGGAGGAGGCAGCATGGCTGGCGGGACCCGGACAAGGGGGAACCATGGCAGGTGTCCCAGTGCATCTCCCTCCGTCCCTCACCGCCGTGATCAGCTCACGTCTGCGTCTCAGCTCCTTGCTCCCCGGCCTGTGGGGGGAAAGAGAAATGGGTCACGCGGCACTTCCGAGGGTCTGTTTCCACCTCGCTGCCCTGAGTGGCCAAGCCCCCAGCATGCAGAGAGAGAGAGAGTATGGCCTGCTGGAGTTTCACATGCCAGTCGGGGCGTATCCCCATCTCCCTGCACAGAAACGTACATGCTCTACTCCCTACCCAGCACCGTGCGTGCACCCCACGCCCAGGCCAGAGCACAGCTCAGGCCAGTTGTGTTACAAGGCACCAGTCCCCTTCTCATCCCAGCTCAGGTGGGTCTGCAAGGTGAGCCCAGGAGGCATTCTCCACACCACAGCTAAAAGAGCTGCATGCTGACCCCATGCACTAGGCAGGCAAGTGGAGAACCAGGCCTGTCTGCCTCCACGCCCTTTCTGGCTTTGCTAAGCAATATTTGCTGGTATCGTAGAATATGTGGGACCTCAGGATAGGGTAATGACTCACCAGTCAGTCTGGGGCTATTCAGATTATGGCATGGACTGCTCTGCTGTCTTCCCAGGGTAGGATCCAGCCATGCCTGCCTCTTCCTTTGAATGGGTGGGATTGAAAAGACACGTGCCTTCCTACTTCCTTAGCTCGTGGAACACTCTAATCTCTCGGGAAACACAGTCCCCGCCCCTCTGCTCACATCTTGCTCTGGAACTGCCCCACATTCCCCAAGAAAAGGTCTCACCACCTCTGCCATTATCCCCCTATGCAGCTCATCGGTGGGATCAAACCCACCTCAACACAGCACTAGCAGCCTCATAGACCTCATCCATGCTCCAGCCTCCTTCTGGAGACAGGGACGTTCTTCCAGCACAGGGCCCACCCACCTCCATGCAGGGAACACACTGAACCTTCCTTTGGCTCTAAACTGCATCATTAACCCTTTGTACCCTGCACCTCCCCAGCCTCCCCTAGCTATGGCTTTCTGTAGTGTTTAGTGTGGGTGCAGCTAACTGCTGACCCTTGTGAAGTGCATCCTGGCCCCAAAGAGAGAGATTTCCTGGCGGTGAGTGTGACTTAGTGGGTCTGGGGATTTTTACCCCCTCAGAGCATTGATGCTGGGGCCGCTGTATCACCCCTCGCTCGCCACACTGGCCCTAGCTGATTTCTCCCTGGTAACAACAGAACAGAAACGAACTCACCCCACGCAAGGGGCTGCGGAGACCCAAATGCCACACAGCTGCCCTCCCAGACTGATAGGTGTTCTCTCTACCGCTTGCTCCAGTCCAAGCTGTCAGCTCCCTCCACAACACGTGTGGCAGAAGGTTCTGAGCCCCTCATCACATGGTAAAGTCATGACATCCCAGCCCCGGCTCTGAGCCACACCTGTGTACCTCCGGAGCAGCATCGCTGATGTCCCCCACGCTACTCCCAATTTACCCTGCAGCGACTGAGAGCAGGGATTGGCCCCCGGTCTGCATTGTGGGGCTTTGCACACCGCTTGCCCAAAACTGCCTTCTGGCTGGGCCTCTGTCACGCACCTGTGCGAGCTCCCAACACAGAATCGCACCAACGAAATCCAACCAACATTCCTTGTGATCATTCTGATAGGTGGGTGGGTGTTAATGACAGAGCTCCAGTTCCCACCTCAGTGGTAATATTCTGGGAAGGGTGGGGATCCTCAGGTTCAGATTTTGCCCTGGGCCCCCAGAATCCCTCTGTGCAGCCCTGCCTCCTGCTGGTGATGTCTGTCTACAGCAGCTCTCCAGGGCAGCAATTGTCTCTTACTATGTATTTGTACAGCAACTAGCGCACTGCTGCTGCCTTGATCTTTGGCTGGTGCCTCTGGAGTATAACCAGCCCTCCTAACCCAGGCAGAGCTTAACAGACAAAGCAATAGCTGCTCCGCTGCCTGACATGCAAGGGGTTTTCCACTAACAGCCCACTGAATGCTGTCCTCTCCCAGCCTCCATACCCTACCCCTGTTAGCCCGAACACACACTGCAGCTATGTCCCAACATTTCACGCGCATGCTTTAAATGATAAAACCCCCTGCAATGTTTTTAAAGTATCTCTCAGATGCCCCTCGACTAGCCAGAGCTAGTCGCTCTTCCATAACCAAGTACACAATTATGTGAGTTAAGTGACTCCCTTGTCGCTCTGATATCTTGGGACCCTACAACACTGCAACCCATGAAGAGCAAACAGCTGATATGCATCATGCTAAGGGCCTTGTCCCCCCTGCTTCTGTTATTCTCAGTTGCCTCAGTTTAACTCTGGCATGCTTAATGTGACAGCTGCCTTTCAACTAGGCAAATCCCTCCAATTAGCACAGGCCAAAGTCAAGCCAGCTACTGAAGTGTATAAAGGGGAGGGTGCTCAGTTAAGCTAACAGAGTTGTTCGTTCTTTTGCAAGGAAAAAATGGCTGGTAAAAACTAAATTTTCTGTTGGGTTTTAACATTTTTTAGGCTTTGTTTTTTTTAAATTTTCTCTCATGTGTGTATTGTAGCAAAGGATCATGACATGCAGGAGAAACAGGAGAAAGAATTTTGTCTAGTTAACAAGGTAGGTGCAGTAAATTTTCTAGCTTTTACCATGTACTTCCTTTATATAAGGAACACAAGATTTAATAATAAAAAACAAACCAACAAACAAAAAGTAGATGAAATCAAGGACTCCTGAGTCTTCAGACTATGATAAAGTGGTCTGTACTTTGCCTTTTTGTCATCAACTTAGTGACCTTCTTAGTTACTAAGAAGGTAAGATAAAAATTCACTCTCCCAAAAAAAAAAATCCTATTTCATTAAGATTATCATCCTGAGGGAATTTCTCTGCAATCTTCTTGTGCTAAGATGCATTTTAGATAATGTAGAAAGCACATGAACTGCTTGCCAAGGGATTTCAGCTAATCTCTAGCACCGGAAAAAAACCTTTTGTGCTCTCCCATATGCTAGTAGAATTCTCATTGATGCCATGCCAGCTCATGTCCTCCCGTTCATACACGTCTGTTAATTATTGTCTCTTCTCAACTGTAATACACCAGAAGATTTATTAAACAAAAGCATATGTACTGGCTAATGTCAATAGACACCTTGAGGGAAAGCAAATCATGAAGTGAAGCTAAGAAAAAGACTTGATTCTGCTTTCTCTTACCCTGGAGTAACTCTGGCTGGTGTAAATGAGAGTGGAATTGAGTCTCTCTGTATTATGTAGGTGCTGAATACATTCTTCACCGCATTGTGATGTAGCTTCCTTGTCCCCAGGAGCTATAACCAATACATTAGGAGGCAAAGTTCATGGTCCAGAAAGTTAGCATTAGCTATTCTGGTAGAGGAGGCCCTAGAAATGCTAGCGATGAGTAGAAAATTGACTTTAAGCCAATCAGGATGCAGATATTTGCATATGTGCTCTAATTGGCTCACACCATTTCATGCTCCATTATTGACCTGTGAGGCAGTCAGCAATAGAAACACAGCTGTTGGCCAGCTGTGAGCTCGGCGAAGTTTTACTTCTGTACCAACATTGTTCATGGAAGCCCTGCTCCCCAAGTGACTTAGTTGGAAAGCCTGGTAAATGAGCACTGTCAGCAGCCGCAAGAAGCCTCCACATGCATGAAATGAGGCTCTGCTATGGTCTGCTGCTGTGCAGGTCTCTCTGTATAATGGGGGAATGAGCCCTAGTGGAGGTGTATGCTGGTAATAAGGAATGGGCCCAAGTCCTGCCATTCAGATGGCATCCAGATGTTCCCAAAGTGTGGGTGGCCTTCCAGAGGACTGGGGCGTGGCTTCAGGCCCATTGCCATGAGCTGCCTTCCTATTCCACAGCCTCTTAAAGTGACAGGCCTTCTCTCCCATTTCACAGCACTCAAGGCCAGCAGGGACCACTGGGTGATCTATTCTGGCCTTTTGTTGGGTCCTTAGATTTCCCACGGTTCCCCCAATATTGAGCCATGAACTTGAATGGCTGCAGCATCTTCTCCAGAAATGCAGCTAGACTACCAGAAGTGGAGAGTTTGTTCTAGTGGTTGTTAACCCTCCTTTGATTGAGCTCTTCCATCTCTCACTGCATTTAGCTGATCAAAACGATGGTTAAGAGGTGACCTGATTACAGTGCCTAAGCACCTTCCTTGGGAGAAAACGCCAGGGACTACGGAGCTGTTTAATCTAGTCAAGAAAGGCAGAACAAGACACAGTGGCTGGCAGCTGGAGCCAGACTCTTCCCATTTGGAAATAGGGACACAGGTCTAACCATGTGTTTTCTTCAGCCCTTGACTCATTTTTGTGGCTCTCTTTGGCACCCTCTCCAACACTTCCATGTCCTCTTTAAAATGTGGCCCCCACAACTGCAGACAATATTCTGGGTCTGCTCTCACAAATGCCATGTGCACAGAGGTCAAATCACCTCCCTGCTCTCCTCATGTAAAATAATAAGGTTATCTATGAAGCGGAGGCTGTCTAATGGATCCCCCTTCATGTTAAGCTCTCGCAAATGCCAGATATAAAGAGGGATGTAGGAACTGGGGCCGAAAAGGAAAGATAGTTGAGTGGGTAGGGCTCAAGGCTGGGAATGGGGAGACCTGGGTTCAATCCCTCACTCTGTCACTGACTTCCTGTGCCGTGTTGGGCAAGTCACTTAGGCTCAGATCCACAATGGTATTTGGGTGCCTCTGCAGTCCACAAAACCCCCACTTGGCTGCTGCCAAACCCTGCAGGTGCCTGAACTCACTTGGTACCTGAATTTTCAGGGGGAAGTTCCCTTGATGCCTGCGCTGCTGCCTCTCTGTGGGTACCTGGATGCCTAGAGCGCTAATACGAGGCACAGACTGAGAGAAGGGAGGTGGTCCTCTGCCTCTCTCACCTGTGGGGCCTGATCTGGAAGGTGTGCCCAGATGCCACCTATCCCATCGGGTCCTGGCCAGAATCTGGCTAGAAGAGGACCCCAACTTTTAGCTCAGGGGTTAGAGCAGTCACCTGGAATATGGGATACCCAGGTTCAGTTCCCCCATCTCTGCCTGAGAGACACTCTGCAGGACCAGCTGGGCCTGGCCCCTGGGGGAGATGGAAGGACAAGCACAGTGCATGACCCTGCAAGATGCTAGTGAGAGCTTCTGGGGCTGGATAAAGAGAATTGGCCTGTAAGCAAAGAAGTTCTCCCCTGATTTTGGTCCCTTCTGCATTTAGAGAAGCAGGACTTTCTACATTCCTTGTAAATAAACAAGATTGTGTCCAAGAAAATGCCAGACTCTGTCAATTTCTGTTTGCCTCTAGAATGCCCTTGGAGGGGGGGGCAGGCCCCTGAACTTTGACTTGCCTCTTGGTTGAAAAAGGGGAGCAAGACTAAAAGCAAAGTGAAATCTTACATCAAACTTAACTGAGCCCTGGGAGGTTTGGGATAACTCAGGGCCAATGAGCTGGGAAGCATGTGGTGGTTAGTTTCCAATGGCTAGAGCAGGAGAACACAAGGAAGAAAGTTTTGTAATTTGTCATTATTCCTCATAGTAATTCCAGGTATTTGTGTGGAGTCTCTTCATGGCTAAAAAATTTTCAGCCTGTGGCATTTCACAGCTGGCCTGGCATAGAAGGGGGTGCTGGAGTTCAGGCTGAAGGAGTCCTGGTAGATGGCATACCCCGGACTGAAATAGACTGATCCAGAGGACACCTGGATAGGTTTTCACCATGGCCCCCTACATGAGTGCTGATATTTGCTCATTGCTTAACGTGAGCTATTGCCAGGTCTGGTGACCAACTCGTCTCTCTTGCCCGGACAGGAGTACCTGGCTGATGAACCATTTCGAGACATTCCAAATCTACAGGCAAAGCTTGATCAGCTGAAGGGTGAGTCTGTCCCAGGGAGAATGGAGCTGAGAAGGAAATGGTTTAACGCCCTAAAAATGCAGCTGAGTGTTTGGGCTTGGGGGAGGGGAGAACGTTGCTAAAGCAGCAGGAGGTGTAATGATCAGTGCAAAATGCTCTTCTAATCCCACTCCCCTCCCTCCAAGAACTAGTCAATACCTACAGAGCCTGTGTTGAGATTGGCCCCCAATGCCATACCCTGCTCGCTGGGGAACTGGTGACTTGAGGTTGAACAAGCCAAATGCAGCCCGTGATTTTATCCCCTGGTTAAAATAACTTCACTGTTGAGTTGGCAAGTGCTGGTGATGTGGGGGCATCGCAGCCTTTGGGCCAGTTCCTCATTTGCTGTGAACTGGCACCGTTCTGCTGATTGCTGGCTTATCCCAGCTCAGGATCTGGCTCTTGTTATCAAAGAGGCCTAGATGAAATTATCAAACACTTGAGAGCGAAGCCAACTAATCTGAGGGAATGCTCCTGAAGAGCTATGTTTGAATTGATTCGTGACCTACAGATGCCACTGGGTCAAATCTAGCCTTTAAAAACGAAAATAGTGTACGTGAAGCCAGGCTTCTTCTTTCAGTGGCAAGAGAGGCGGGGGACAAAAAACCTTTTTTGGGGTAAAAAAAAAATCCCTTGAGAAATTTTGAACTAAGTGACTCTAGCCTGGGGAAAACAGCTCCCGTTCTTCAGCCAGGCCCCTGCAGAGCGTGGGGGACGTTGGCGCTGCAGGTGACGAGGCAGTCACCGTGGACATGCGTGCAGAATGGCTACTGCTGTAAATCAATGAGTTGATGCTGCACTCAGTCTTGGTAGGCAGGATGATGACTCTTCTCTCTCTCCTAGGCATGTTTATGGGATATGATGCCACAAGCACAGGAGAAATTGGTAAATTGTCACTTAACTCTTTGCTTGTGACTGCTGCTTCCCTCCTCCTCCTCTGCCAGACCAGATCTGAAGGCCCATCTGCTGCACTCCCAACTATTGGGGTTTGATGTGTCCATGTGTTGGTGGAATCCGAGAATAGTGAACATCCCCATGTTTCACAGGGGTGGGGGCCCTAGGCAGCTCATTGGACCTTCACAAGAAGATCCCTTCCCCCCCATACTCACTCCCTGTGTGGAAGCAGAATATGCCAATGGTGGTTATTTGTGCCCATGGGCACCTTAAGTCTATCCCACTGCCTGCCTCAGTCTTCCCCCTCCCCCAGAACTAGATCTCACTTGGTGCCAGAGAATCAGGTCTCTGGTGCTTAGTGTTTAGCACTCATGCTGATGGTAACTGAGTGGTGAGGCTGGCAGCTACCATCCTAGGGGCACAAAGGTGGGTCCCCCAGCTCTCCTGTGCCAGTGGGTCCCTTAATGCTTCTTAACAAGGGAGAAAAATGCCTGGTGCCCTGAGATGGGAAGAACTTTGAAGCCATGCTCAGGTACTTGCTGGATGGCTTCCTTGACTAGCTGATGCAAGACTTACTGGTAATGAGTCATTTCCCACCTACTTTCAAGAGGCACTTTTGAGGGGGTGGCAGTGGGCTGCCTTTATCCTCACACATGAGGTTGGTATGCCTCTCTGAGATGTAGCCAGTCCCAAAGTCTCTGCTACAGCTGCACACTTATACAACTTCCTGTTGCTGAATCTGAAATTCTCCACCACCCCCCACTGCCCATGGTGCTTTTGCATTTCAGTAGACTAATCCTGGATGACTAAGAACATGGCCTCTCCTGGATGACTGAGAGCATGGCCTCTCTACATGCATGAAGTACATATACAGTCCCATTCTTTCCCACAAAAACAATTGTGAACTTGAAGGATGTGTTAGAACCAGAGAGGGAGATCATGCCACCTTCAAAGGTCTAGCCTTAACCTGTGGGTGAAAAGTGGGGAGTAGATACCTTGGAGTTCAAGTTGCACTCTATTTGCTTAAAGCCAGTAGGGGACTACCCAGATTGGAAGACTATATCAGATTGCTTTGACTCCTTAGACTAAGGAATCCAGTAACACCGAAACTACTCTGTAGTGCTCTCTCCTTCATTGTAAAGCACCTACCTAAAACAACCCCTGCTGTTTCTTCTGGGCTTATGCTCAATGTAGATGCTGCTCAAAACTCTCCAGGCCCACATCTGAGTAATGCAGAACCAGTTCTGGAGCAGCGATGGGAAGGGGGATGTGGTAAATGACCAAATAGGTCTCTTCCATCTGTAACCCCTGTGATCATGTGATACAGACCATATCTGAGTCTGGTGTTGTTTCAGACTATCCAACGATGAGCAGGATACTGCAGGAGTTTGGGGTTTTCCAAAACCCCTTGGAGCTCAAGGCGCTGGTCCAGGAAATCACAGGGAACACAGGCAGCACCATCCCTTACAAGGACTTCACTATGGTTATGCTGGGCCGCAGATCGACCATGTGCCAACGGTATGTATGGAAGCATACCTGCATCTCCAGGCTTGGGCCAGAGGAAGGAGCTGAATGTGCAATTGGTCAAAAGGATTTGATTTGTCTTTGGTTGTTCCCTGGGTGACAGTTGCCTTCCAACAAAGGGCAAGAGGAGCTACTGGGAGATCTGCAGCTATTTCTAACCTACCTGTCGCTGCAGGATCTGGGCACTAGCATGGTACAGCTGTTGTAGAGAGGGTGGAAGAGTTGACCTTGTGCAAAACTTGTACTTCTGTCCATTTGGTGATCCCTGGGTAACTAACCAGCTAAAGGAACAGGCCCAAGAAGCTGGGGGCCCAACTCTGATAGGCAAACTTTAGTACCTCTGTGCTACCAAGGCAAAACAACTTATTCTGACTAGGGAATCGGACCTCCCTCCTAGGCTGACCGGATAGCAAGTGTAAAAAATTGGGATGGGGGTGAGGAGTAGTAGGAGCCTATATAAGAAAAAGCCCCAAATATTGGGACTGTCCCTATAAAATCAGGACATCTGGTCACCCTACTCCCTCCTCCATTTGAGGTCAATGGTTAGCCACATTTACCAATGGGCTGGAGGGCTAAAGATTGCAGGCTACGTTCTTCCCATACAACTCCACTGAAGTCAGCAGGGCAGTTTGCAGGAGTCAGGACAAAACCTGGACCACAGTGTCTGAACTCTACTGGGAATGGCACTTGGGGACATGTCTGAGGGCAGCACCGTGGCTCCTTGGCCGTATAAACAGGGCCAGAAGCTGGTCTCCATTGAATTTGAATGATGTGGAACAGCCCAAAACTATGGAACGATAGCTGAAAATCAGACTCTGCCTGGATCTAGTCACTTGGTCCCAAACTTGAGGTTCCAGGGGTGGAGGCATCGGGGGTATTCCCAGCTTCACGCTATACAGTGATGTGTCTCCATGAGACTCTTCACCACTCACTTGAGGTATGACCATTCCCCTGCTGTCTTTGCAGCCCATGTTCTGGCCCCAGCCCACTGGTGCAGTCTAGCTGGAGGTGACACCAACCACTCCAACTTAACTGGCCTGCCTGAGTGGAAAGATCAAGGGTGGAGGGAGAGAATGGGGAGACTGTCTAGCTGGTCATCCAAAGACCTTCACAGATAAAGCAAACCTCCCTCTTCGTGGGGAGCCTTAGACAGAAAGGTGGGCTTAGGCAGGAACTAATTGTTCATAAGGGGTATTGAAGGCAGTGCTCTGCTGGGTCACTGCCCTTCTGTGCCTCAGTTTCCCCAGCTGTAACCTGGGGATAAAGATAAGAGCTAGGATGTGTCAGTGGTGGTTCCCCCTGGCTCTTGCCATGAGTCCTGCTGTTCACTCTTTCTGCTGCCAGGATCATGCACTACAATGGGAAAGGAGGAGGAGTGGTGAAGAGGCCCAGCCTGATGGATGCTGGCCCCTATGTAACCTACTTGGAATGCACTCTCTCCGGAGTCCCCTCTCCTCTTGCCACTCTCCCGCCGCCACCTCCCCCATCTCCAGTTGATGGCTGCCCTGAGACCTAGCCGGCTGCCTGAGGAATGTGGAGACTGACTCGCTTCGTAGGCTGGAAAGTCTGCTGAGAAGGCAAATCAAATGTCCTGTGGTAGAGTGCATCCAGCTCAGACCTTCCCCAATAAAGAGCTGCCTAGCAACAGTGCGCTGTAGCATGTCTGAGCTGCTGCAGCAGGAGAGCAGAACTGCTGATTGCTGGCGTTATAGCAGCGCCTAAAGGCCCTGTTGTGGAAGGTGCTGTAGGAACACAAGACAGTATCTGTCCCAAAGAGCCTACCATCTAGACATAATCAGACAGGTGGCAAGAGAAACAGCCAGAGGGAGGTGCAGTTACTCATCCCAGCTCTCAGCAGGTCAGTGGTAGAGCCTGGTATAAACCTGGGCTCTTTCAGGTCAGCTCCTAGAATCGTATTTGTCCATTGTTCTTACTCAGGTTGTTCAAGAACATAACGTCCATACTGGGTCAGACCAAAGCTCCATCTAACCCAGTATCCTGTCTTCCAACAGTGCCCCAGAGGGAATGAACAGAACAGGGAATCATCAATTGATCCATCCCCTGTTGCACATTCCCAACTACTAGCAAACCAAGGCTAGGGATACCATCCCTGCCCATCCTGGCTAGTAGCCATTGATGGACCGATCCTCCATGAATTTATCTAGTTCTTTTTTGAACCCTGTTATAGTCTTGGCCTTCACAACATCCTCTAGCAAAGAGTTCCACAGGTTGACTGTGCGTTGTGTGCAAAAATTCTTCCTTCGGTTTCTTTTAAACCTGCTGCCTATTAATGTCATTTGGTGACCCCTAGTTCTTGTGTTAGAGAAGTAGTAAACACCACTTCCTTATCTACTTTCTCTACACCAGTCATGATTTTATAGACCTCTATCATATCCCCCTGTAGTTCTCTTTTCCAACCTGAAATGTTCCAGTCTTATTAATCTCTCCTCATATGGAAGCCATTCCATACCCCTAATAATTTTTGTTGCCCTTTTCCGTAACTTTTCCAATTCCAGTTTTTTGGGTTTGTTTTTTTTTTGTAAGATGAGGCAACTACATCTGCACATAAATGTGGGCGTACCATGGATTTATCTATCCTGTTCCTAATGATTCCCAACATTGTTAGCTTTTTTGATGGCTGCTGCAAATTGAATGGATGTTTTTCAGAGAGCTATCCCCAATGACTCCCAGATCTTTCTTTAGAGGTAACCGCTAATTTAGACCCCATTGTTTTATATATATAGTTGGGATTATGTTTTCCAATGTGCATTACTTTGCATTTATCACGTTCCCAGTTTTGTGAGTCCCTTGTAACCTTCCAGTCTGTTTGGCTTACTAGCTGAGTAGTTTTGTATCATCTGCAAATTTTGCCACATCACTGTTTACCCCTTTTTCCAGATCATTTATGAATATGGGAACAGGACTGGTCCCAGTACAGACCTCTGGAGGACACCCCTGTTTACAGCTCTCCATTCTGAAAACTGAACATTTATTCCTACCCTTTGTTCCCTATCTTTAACAAGTTACCGATCCATGAGAGGACCTTCCCTCTTATCCCATAACAGCTTACTTTGCTTAAGAGCCTTTAGTGAGTGACCTCGTCAAAAGCTTTCTGAAAATCTAAGAACACTATATCCATTGGATCCCCCTTGTCCACACGCTTGTTGACCCCCCCGCCCACCAAAAGAATTCTAGTAGATTGGTGAGGCATGATTTCCCTTTACAAAAACCATGTTGACTCTTCCCTAACAAACCATGTTCATCTATGTGTCTGACAGTTCTCTTCTTTACTATAGTTTCAACCAATTTGCCTGGTATTGAAGTTAGGCTCACTGGCCTGTAATTGCTGGGGTCACCTCTGGAGCCTTTTTTAGAAATTGCCCTCACATTAGCTAGCTGCCAGTCATTTGGTACAGACAGAAGTGAAAGTAAACTGGTATGGTCCGGTACTGCATACCAGCAAGAGCTGGTACACAGCTGACCGTACCGGCAGGGGGCAGCTTCCCCAAGCTAGCAAACACCCTCAAACTCTTCTGGGGCTAAGTACCTGAGGAGAGTTGGGGAGAGGGACCTACGTACAACTTATGGCTTCTGTTGAATATTATGAACTTTGTATGTAATTATATCCAAACCAATTGTCAAATCCCTCTGTGCCTTCCCCTTGGCTCTATAGCCTCCAGAGTGAGCTAAAACCCCCAGGAGGTGTCAGGAGAAATTCTTGCAGCCATGATGCAGGGTCATTAAACTTCAATGGTCTTCTATTCAAATGGAAGCCTCCTTGGGCAAAAAGCTGGCCAGATGGAGAGAACAGATTCTGCTAGGTGGGCTAGTAACCAAATAATCATGGGCTGGGAGACTCCAACTGCCTGATGAGGCTGAGCGGGGAATCACATGATAGGGGATAAGAACTTTATAAAAGGATGTGTGTGTCTGTCTCTGTCAATGTCTCTTTCTCTCTCCCTCTCCCCCTCTGCTGCAGCAGCTCCCCCCAGCTTGAGCAGGTGAGGTGGTGAAATAGCTGGAGAGAGAGAATCTGACTTCCCTCTCCCTCCCTCCCAGTCTCCCAAGGGAAGCGGGGGAGCTAGAATGCGGGGCAGGGAATTCAGGTGTGGGTTGGTTTCTAGATGGTCTGTGCTCTGTCTGAGTAAAGTGTGCATTTGGGTGAGAGGTCCTTAGGCCAAGCCTGGCTCTATTTGCTTCCACTACAGTGCGTCCCTGAAGGGGTAAACGGTAAACCAGAGTCGGATGGAGCTCGGGCAAATGGTGTGCTTATGTTACTGGGGTGTCTTGGGGGGCAGCATAGGTCCTGGGGGCCTAGGGCAGCTGGGCCACAGGGTCTCTCTTCCATGAAGGGGTGTCAGAGAGGCCAAAGAGGCCATGCTGAAGCCTACTCAGACCAAGGGAAGCTTAAAACCACATAAAGGGCAGACAAGTTCTCCCACAATTCCCCAGGACAAATAGCAGCCCACTTAATGCAGCACAAAGACTCATGGGATGTGCCCCAGATGCCCTAGCGCCATGCCCAGGGGAATGTAGCTGCAGTGAGAATGCAGTAACTGGGTATGGCTTTGCAGTGGGGTTGCTCGGGGCGGGGCTGCAGTGAGGCTATGCCTATAGATTCAAAACAAGATTCTGTCAGTCCTGCTCTCAGCCAGAGGCTGTCCAGAAATGCTGGGTTTAGCTCCCATGCTCAAAGAGGTGGTTTGCTCCCGGGTGATGTAGAGAGATGTGTTAACATGCAACTTTCCAAGATTTAATGCTGATTTAGACCTTTTTATACTGAAAGGGCTGATGCAAGTTATTTCTTTCCATCCCCTCAAGATAATCAAATACAGATGATCTGAGGCACCATCAGTTAGAGGTTACCAGCTAACATATATTCTATTGACTGTAAAAGGTAATCAATTAGATATTTTTAAACCAGCTAATGTTGGTTTCCCAGCTTTTCTGTAATCAGTCAGCTCTCTACTAATGGCTGCAAATCTTTCCATTTCTCTGCCTCCCCTTATTCTACAGTGGCATTTGTTTTTGAAGTCATGGTGATATTTGTTCAGTAGATGAAATCCTGGCTCCATTGAAGTCAATGGCAAAGTTCCCCTTGGCTTTAATAATAGTAATACCTAGCTCTTATCTACTGACCTTAATAAAGGTAGTCAATATCATCATTCCCATTTTCCAGATGGGAAACTGAGGCACAGAGCAGGGAAGTGACCCAGCAAAGTCACCCAGCAAGCCTGTGGAAGAGCTTAAATTAGAAACCAGGCCTCTTATTTTAGTGCATAAATGGGAACTGAGCTCCTGAAAATTGAGCCCTGTTTGCTGGGACTGAACTCTCCTGGAAAGGTGGCCTATAGTTTCCTGTAGCCTGGAATTCCCTCCAGCATGTTGCAGTGAAATGAAAAATCTGCAAACAAGAAGCTGCCACTGTGGATTGTTGTGGGGGGAGAGGGTTTATTATCGATTATTATCACAGACTACTTCCACGTAATCATCAGCACATCAGACCTTCACTTTCATCCAGGAGGCTTCAATGCAACCTGCATGGATTAGGCTTTTAAAACAAACAGAAAAACCAAGCCAGCTACAGGATTTATATACTAAATGTGTGTGTTCTTAAAAACAGCTGTATGCTTAGCCATACCTGATCTAATGCCATGCCTATCCCAAAGGGTGTCTAAGGTACAGTGTAATCAGTGGAGTTGTCTGGATTGAAAGCTAGAAACAGCAAGAACAGTTAGATGATGCTTCTCATTCTGAGTTAATAACCATAGTCTGGGATAAATAGAGATCTGTTCTATTGCTCACTGGAGTCAATGGGAGACTTTCCATTGACTTCAGTGGATTTGAGATCATGCCCTAAATTCTAGGATCCCGTTGTTCATGAACAACAACCCTCCTTACATTTATTTTGCTATAATGTCTAATGACTTAACAGAATTGTGTTAAACAAGTCTTGCTTCATTTTTGTCTTTAATGGAAGGGGAGCTGAAGCGGCCATGTTTCTTGCAGGTAGGGGGCTAGTTCGGCCGGAGCCCTGCATGCTCAATGACTATTGTGTAACTGTGTGAGACGTTGAACAGACTCAAAGCCCCTAGAGCAGACCAGCCCTATGCTTAAGTGAGGTGTGGATCATTGGACCTCACCTCTCTGCAGCTTGGGCCCATCTTTGACTCCTGCTTTAGCTACTGGTCAATTGCAGCTGCAAAGAGGCTGCTTACGCTGCAGAGATACCAAGCTGGGTGAGTTCCGGTCTTCTCCCACGTTCTCTGCTCATGATAATCTGTAGAGGTGGCTGGTTGGCTCCCAAGGGAAGCGTGGTCCTGATGATGCGTGCACTGTGCTTAGGAGGAGAGAGGCTGGCAATGAAAGGGTTTATACGCAGCAGCTGAAAGCTCTCTTGCAGGGCGCTCACTACCCGGGATTTCTAGTAATTTTTAACTCCTGCAGCACATTTCTGAGACACCCCTGCCTCTGCCAAGTCAACCCACTAAGGACCCAATCTGAAGCCCAGTGAAGTCAGCTGGAGTCTTTTCATTGGCTTATTTGGGTGTTGGAGCTAGGTCTTTAGGCCTTGATGTTCTCCTACTGAATCTGGGCATGATACAACTTTGCACAATCTCCTCCTGTCAATGCTGCCTTGGCTAATGTCTGGTGTTGACTGCTCAGCACATTCCCCTTGTCTCAGCTGATGCTGGGTAGGAATATGGTTTGCTGATGGTCACTGGGTTTTTATTAGCCATTCAGTGAAGGTGGTACCCAGCCACCTCCCTCCCCTAAAATATTATCTGCCTCTTGCTGTGAACAGTTTGGTCTGCTTGGCTGGAATCTGTGTCTTTTAGCCAAGGGTGCAGGCAAATTTAGTCATTCTAGATCTATCCCTGTGCAGTTGGCCCACACATTCCAAATGTTGCATAACCTTTAACAACTTGTTTCTTTTTTTTTTCTATATTGTCCAAATTAATCCCATGTGTAATTCAGAGAGAGGCAAGGGGAGCGACGACAGGGCTGTAACACCTATTGCATGTATGTTCCCAAGTGGCACAAGGTTATTCCCACTCTATCATTATTTAAGCCCCACCAGTGCTCTCAGAATAGGAACCTCTGATCTAGGGCCAAGCCTGGAGTCTTTGCCCAGCTCAGTGAGCACTCTGCCTGAGTAAGGGGCTCAGGGCTGAGTCCAAGGAAAGCTCAGGAAGAATAGGAAGAGTGAGTGTATGAGATTGACAGCTGCCTAGACTTGCCCCTAACCCACGAGCAGCTAGTTAGCAATGAGCGTGGCGTGTCCTCCTCCCGCCCTGAGGCTCCTCATATCCTGGAGAGTCTGATGTCATAAGTGACCATGTTGAAATTGTCCCAAGCGAAGAGCTTTCTCTCTGTGGGGTTGTAGTCCACCATGCTGCTGTACCCATAGCGGTTCTCGAAGCGGATGCTCAGCGGCTCGCTGGTGCTGGTGGCTGTATGGTAGGAAAAGTTGACCGTGGCATCTGGGGCTGAGTAGCTA